CCCCAAAACCCCAAAACCCCAAAACCCCATGAAATATAATTTTAATACAAAAAGCAGAAAGATAAAAATATAATCTAGGAAAATTTAAATATAAATTAATACTTTTCATTGAGTGATATTCAAGGTAATTAAATCTCTATTTCTCTTATTTCAGAGCACACCTTTTCTTTGAAAAAATCAGTCTTATAAATGCATTAATAATCAATTAGCTTCAGTTTAGATCCCCATTAATAACCTTTAACATTGTCTATTCTCAGTTAAAACTTTCTGTTTATTGATGATTTTTGTGAAGATCTTATTTATGAAGTAAAGACAGTTTTCATTTGATAGTTCTGTATGTTAATAAGAGACACTTAATCAGAATCTTTAATTAGCAAATAAGGATATGCTTCATAATTGAATCCAAAAACTGGTGTAATTGAAAACTTTGATTAGCCAGATAATTGGTATAAAGTTTTTCTCTATTTAATATCATAGACTACTAGCTTAGATAAAGTTGAATAACATATAAGATCCAATTTGAGAGATACAAGAGAGTAGCAACGATCTATAACTATTTTACTTTTTTCTAACTAAAATAAAAACACTAACTTCCCAGTTTATTTTAATTTACCTTTGATTATCCCTGATTCTTGACAGCCAAATGCGTATTCATATTCACCCTAAGAATGAGATAATAAGCATATTTCTGATATATTAGATAATCCTAGTACTTTAAATGTCTAATTGTATTCCATATTTGATAAACTAAATAATTCTATAGTTCCTTATCTCTCCCCCGTCATAAAAATATCCTCAGTAACTTAAATAATTTTCAAAACATCTTGCTTACATCTAAATGGGTAGCCATGTATTATTAGGCTTTAAGAATCTAAGACCTTAATGAAACAAAACCATTCTAAGAATAAAACATATTTTCCTTGCTAATGTAATAACTCTGCTTTGATTTTAATATCAGTACTTTTCTTATAATCTAAGTTTAAAATTCTACAACTTTTATATTTACCTCTCGCAAGAAATATTTAATCAGCTTATTTTATAAAATCATCAAAGGTAATCTCTGGCTTATCTCCATGTTTTTCTGAGTAAGATTTTATTATTTTCACATTAAAATTATGACTATCTAAGTTAGGAAAAGATTTCACTCCTAATTTGTTTATTTACTTATTACTTTCAACAACTTTTTTGCCAATATCTTTCTCATTTATTTGTTCTAAAAATTCATCTTAAATATCTAGTTTGTCTGATGACTATTTTACTTTGAATAAACTATTTATTAGTACCTTTTCATGGATTACATTTGAACGATGAGAAAATTACTAAATTTCAAATTAATCATTTATTAAGATTTGTTCTAGACTTTCAGCTATTGGTGCAGAGTTGCCTGTAATATATCGATAAAATTGCTCATTTTATTTATTGTTATCTTCATTAATCATCAATTATTACTTGTCTAGCTTTTTATCAAGCTGTTTATAATCATAAGATGTCATTGATGTATCATACTTTTCATCATCAATACAATCCTCAATTTCTTTGGAAATTTCTTTCTAAAATGAGGAAAAATCTTAATCAATGAAATCATCAATAATTCTATCATTTTATTTATTTTCAACTGAAAATTCAAGTTTCTCCTCTTCAATTTCTTTCCTTCTTCCAAAACCTTTATCGCTCTAATTCTTCTGATTACCACTATTAGATGATGAAAAAGAATCATTTGTTTCTTCTCTCTAATAATTCTATTTTCCATGGCTATTTTTTATTTATTTTGTAAAATATCTAATCATACTCTGGCATTACTTTAAATTTTAATCTAAACTCATCAGATGTTACTATATTGATTAGCAATTTTTATGGATTTCATTTTAGTATTTTAGTTTTAATGTATCAGTCAAATTATTCAAACCTTTATCGATATGAATTCTTATATCATTTAATTTATAAGCTAATAGCTCACTTTCATAATCTTACAAAATTAATTTATCCTTTATCAAAGAATAGAATTCTTATTTCAAATCTGAAGAATCAGGTCTTTCCTCAGGGGAAAGTATAAGCATTTTTTTCATTAAAGATTATAATTATTAATACTCCTAAGGGAGATTAATATCTTTGTTTTGTAGAGCGAGCAAATTAACTGCAGTTCCATTCATTTTTTCAGATCCAGTGCAGAGATAGTAGATTAATATTCCGAGGGACCAAATGTCTACTTTCAAATTATACTTAAAACTTCCAAACATTGCTTCTGGCGCCATATAAAGTTCCTTTCCAGCTTTCATTAATGTAGAAGTACCAAAAGAAGCTATTCCAAAGTCACAGATCTTTATTCTATCTCCTTCATACACTAAAATATTTGACGGGGATATATCTCAGTGAATGAACCCTTATTCATGAATATATTCCAAACCATTTAAGATTTGCAAGATTATCAAAGAGACTTCTGAGCAACTTAATTTTTTTCAGTTTTTCAATATTTGGGTTAAATCAGATTTAGCAAGATCACTAACTATGATAAATTAGCCATCCTGAGTTAAATAAGAGTCTAAAATCTCGACTACATTAGGGTGTTTCAATTAAAAACTGGCTATCTCTCTCATTATCCTTAGGACCTCTGTTGATAGCTCATCATTCTTACAAGACTTTATTGCACTTAAATCTTATTATTTGAAAGCAACTTCTTTCAGATTGATGTCTTTAAGATCTTTAGCTCTATATACTCTACCAAATGAGCCTGAGCTTATTGGTTCTTGTAGCTGATATCTTTCGTAAGAATCACGTATTTTTAAGGATATAAGGGTTTCCATAGCAGATGTTCAGTTAATATATTTGGTAATATTATTTCTATAATTATAAATAGACTAAACAAGCATTTTAAAATTATACTTTAAATTTATGACAATCAATTTTGATATAGCTATATAGTTAAGGGGTTTTGGGGTTTTGGGG